GCTGAGACACTGTAATCATCATAAATATGAGTCAATTGCCAACTGTCTGGATTTTGATCACATGTCCATGGCATGCTGCAACAGTCATGTGAAAAATGGTTGTAAGTCATTTTTTCAGTGCTGTTGTAACTTCAAATGGTCACTAAATAAACTGTTATAAGTAGAGGACTACCTGTACTTCCCAAGGATTTGGGATAGGCAGATGTGAATGTTTGATGATTTTAAAGGTATCATCACAGGATGTAAGCTGTTCCAAGTGAAGCTTTTACAATTGACTGTTGGTGCTTTTATCAATGCCAATGGTATTCAAGTTGTGGTCCAGTTGTGTTGAGATTGTACACCATGCACCTATTACTACTGGTACTTCCTTTGCTTTCTTTTGCCACAGTTATTTTATTTTTTTGTATTTTGTTATCTTCTCCAATTCATTCTCTTCTTTTCTGGGATATTATGTGTTATTGTGAGCTGCCCTGTTGTTGGACAGCATACAAGTTTAATAAATTATTATTGTGGATCACAGAATATGTCAAAAGGTGAAGCATTGGAAGAAGAAAACTAGGGAATTGGATTAAACAAAAACAAAACTGGAAAGGTTTTGAAAATATAGATGGGAAGTTAGGGCAAGAGAGGAAGAAGTATAAGGATTTATATACATAGTTCTTAATTTACAACGATAACAGAGCCTGGAATTACAATTGTTTTTGTGCCGTTTAAGTGAACAGCACAATTATTGACTGTAGCAATTGTTAACCAAATCCATTATACCCAATGGGCAAATTGCAGTGCATAATCATGGGATGCTGCAAATCAGGGTGGATAATAATAGATAATTTTAAAAAAAAATCAGATGTTTAAAAATTTAAATCGGATTTTTTTTATTTAAATCGGACTTTTTTTATTTTTATCAAATGTATTTTAATAAAATGCTTTTGGAGTAAAAATCTATCTAAATATAGTTTTCTATTTAAGATACATTAATAATTTAGTTTATTCAGCATGAGATGGAGCTTAGTTATGTAGCATGAGGCTGTATATTTTGCAATATTTACATTTTTGGTAAACTCATTCAATGAATCCAAGCCTTTGCAAGCTGAGATAACATGCACTGCATTGATGCATTCACACACTAACCATGAAATAAACCATAAAACAAAGTTCAGGAATATTCTTTTATCCCATTGTTTTGCAAATCTTTTTTTTTCCGCCAGAAGTTGGAAGGTCTGACTGGTTTTTTTAGTCCCACAAACTCTGTTTCCCTGCAGCAGGAGAGAAACGCACCAGAGTTGGGAAGCAGGTTAGTGAAGAAATGCTTTCGGGGAGAGGAGCTGGGCAATGGTGCGCCAAACTCTATAGCAGCGCCAGGAGAAGCGCCAGGAAAAAGGGCTGCCATTTCCAGAATGGAGAAGGAAGATGCGGGGTGATGCAGGGTGGCAAGCAAATGCTCTTCTCTGCTCTGCGCAGAGCCACTCCCCTCCCCGTTCTCTCCAATGATGGCAACAGAGGCCTGGCGGAGGGAGTGGCCAGGGGAGGCTTGTGCTGCCAGCCATGGGAGAATTGGTGGAGTAGGAGGTGGTGGCTGCCACGGGGCAGGTGATCTATGGGACGAAGTGCAAAAAAGCCCCTCCAGCAGCAGCAGCGAAGCCTTTCGCAGTCATTCTCCCTGGCTCTGAAACGGCAGAGGGGGACCGTAGCATGGTAGTCTGGCTCAGGAGGGGGGTGAAAGGGAAGGTCGCCAAACAAGGAATGGCCTGGCAGGGGGGTGCTGAAGCGGGTGACGTGGGGCAGCTCAACCCTCTCCCCCACTTGCCTTGCCTCGTTGTGGCGGCAGTGGCACATGCGTTCTCCTGCCCCATTGCGGCAGCAAGGTGGGATGTAGTGGGTAGGGTCCTAACTAGGGCTTATTTTGGGGGTAGGGCTTATATGAGGGGAAACACAGTACGTATGATTAACCTATTAACCTAAAATTGGTTCTGATATCACTGTTTTACTAACCTGACAGCTTATTATTCTAAATAGGAAACCTTCATTTTGTTTGCAAATAATAATATTAAAGATTCTAACTAACAGCAAGAATGATTCCTTACATTTAAAGAACACCTATCATTTCAGATCCATCATGGCAGCGCCTGTTAGCGGGCATCCACTCACTTGCTGCCCTCCACATCCCTCACCTTGTTGTGTCACTGCCGCATCACCAGCCTTCCCATTAAAGTGAATGGGACTGTTGGTGAGTCAAAAGTGTGTCAGAGATGACAGTTGTTCTTTAAAAATTATGATTTAAAATCAAGCCTTTTTACTAGTGATTTAAATCAACTTGATATAAATCAAATCCACTCTGCTGCAAATGGCTGTAAGCACCTAAAATATGACCATGTGGTACAAATATGTTTGTGTGTGGCTGTTAAAACTTTGGAACTGGGTTATAAATATCTTTGATCCGTTGTTACTTTGAATGGTCACTAAGGGACCCATTGTTAAACAAGGACTATTAGTATGAACATTTTTTAAGAGTGATGAATGCAAACACATATTCACAAAATTTTCTGAATATAAAGTATTGCAAATATCAATGTGAGGCAAAAGATCAAGACCTGAGAAAGCATAGTAGTTAAGAGGTAACTATTTACAGTTTTCTGAAATTCTGTCAGAGTAAATTTTTCTAATAGTGTCAACAGAAAGAGGGAATTCTGCAACTGAAATCTGTGAGATATGGTGCCCTATAGCAGGGCTTTTCAACCAGTGGTAAGGGTACCACCTGTGGTACATTGGCACCTGGCAGGTGGTACACGACCATCCTAAAAAAGTAGTGGGGGAGGGGAATGAGCTGAACCAGTGGCAGCACCGCACAAGCCTGAGCGAGAGATGGCTGGAGCTGCAGGGCTATCAGGGCTCAGCGGAAGCGCCAGGATCAGTGCCGCTTTCCAGCTGATCAGCGCTTCTTCGGGGCTGTCGGGGCTCAGCGGAAGCGCCAGGATCAGCGCAAGCTCCAGCTGGACCTCAGCACTGATCCTGGTGCTTCTGCTGAGCCTGAAGAAGCACCAATGAGCTGGAAAGCAGCACTGATCCTGGCACTTCTGCTGAGCCCAGAAGAAGCACCAATCAGCTGGAATGTTGCAGCATCTCCAGGGTCTTGTGATTTACATTCAGATACTTGGCAACTGATTCATATTTATGACGATCACAGTGTCCCAGGGCCATGTGAAATGACCAAAACCTGCTGCAACCACCCAGCAGATGGGGGGAATAAAAACCAAACACTCCCCCATCCCACTTCCGCTGCCAATCCTCAACAGAAATGCTCACAACAATAGAAACCTCGGACAGGAGGAAGAGTGCCGCCAGGTGGGCAGGCGTCTTGCTCGGCTGTGGCTTGGGGGACACTTTTTTTCAGTGCCATTGTAACTTCGAACAGTCACTAAGCAAACTGTTGTAAGTCGAGGATTACCTGTACTTTATCACTTTTTTCCTTTTTTGGGGGGGTCATCAAGTTTTTGACACCTTGCTAGGTGACTGGTGGTACTCTGATATTGCCCTATCCTAAAAGTGGTACAATGGGTGAAAAGGTTGAAAAGCCCTGCCCTATAGGCAAATTCTAAATACATGAAAACCATAAACAGGAAATGTTTAAACTGAGAAATTAATAATCTTTGCTGAGATCTGCAATCAAATACCATAGTAGTGTCAGCTTAAATACACTTCACCTCCAGAAAGAATATGACTTATTCTCACATTATTAATTCACACCAAAGTTATTTTAAATATTTTGTTTTTCCCCAAAGATGGCCGTTTTTAAAAATATGGAAATCAATTAATAGGTTATCCCTAATCACAAAATATTAGATGTATAATTATATCAAAATATTACTCAGCCTGTGAATTTTGTTACAAATTTTATTTAGGGGGAAAGCCATTTAAACAAAACTTTTGCTCCATGGAATTATATTTTTAAATATTCCCATAAATAAACATTTGGCAACTTAGAAACTTCAACATTTCAGCTTCTATCAGTCCCAGTGAGCATGGCAAATGATAATAGATTTTGAAGCTTGCAGGCAGAGCTTTGAAGTTAAAAAAAAATCTGATACCTCCAGGGAGATTTGATAAAGAATCACTACCAGTTGACTATTCTGAGCTCAGTGAAACAATATTCTGCTTCAATAAGATTATTTACCAAAAACTGTTTCAGTTCTTGCAGATAGCAGCACAAATAAGCATAAAACTCACTTTTTAATGTTACTAAATTATCATTTTAATGGTTGTTGCTCCAAAATAATTTTTCACATGATAGTTAAGAATAAATTCCTGTTTCAATCCAGAGTCTTGTATAATAGGTGCAGATCCTTTCATCTAAATTGGCACTTGGGTGATCAAATGCTTATGGATGGATGGAAGGAAGGAAATTATAAAATCTCAGGGAACAAGAAATGTCATGCACTGCAAATCACATCCTTGCAATTATTACCCACAGCACATTTCTACCTGCTGGCCTGCATATCCAAAAAAGCTGACCAATAGTAAGAAAAACACTTAGTTTGACATATAGGAAAGCAGTTCTTTTAAGTAAAAAGTGAATAATGAGTAAAACAGCAAATAAAAATACATTCCATTCCCATTTTCGCTATGTATAGACAATATTACTGCTTACATAATTTGTACCGTATGAAAGAGGAAGAAATAGATATAATGCTCCTATATGAGTGTTAAATGATTTAAGGAGCAGCTCAAAAGGCAATTTACTTACTGCAAATTCTGTACTGTGATGCTAGTTTTGGACATCGTGCAAAACATTTGCTTATTTAGAGAAAGACCCTGATGGTCCGAAAATATTGTTGGCAACACCTCCCACACTTCTGAGCCAACACGACAGCTTCCCGATTTGAGATTTGGAGAATTATAGATTCCGCATTAGAAAACAACTGGTTGGAAAAGGCGGACTAGAGGGAGCCGCAGAACAAGATATAGCAACCTATAAAAAGACACCCCATTGTTTCCCACCTCACCTGAAACTACCGCTTCGGGTGGGAGCTTCCACTGCTTCTTCCTCCTGTTCTCCGGAGGATGCGGCCTGGGCCACGCCACTGGCTTCATCGTCCTCCACAATCACGTCACCTACTACAGGAAGCGCCGCAGCTGCAGCGCCACCGAGTCCTAATCCGGGCCGGCCATCACTCTCCGAAAACGCCGCCGCTTCCCTCAGGGGGACGCAGAGCGGCAAAAAAATCCAGAGGAGCACCAGGGCGGCGACGTTAGAGCGGGTGGCTGCGGAAGGAGCAGGCCGAACGCTTGGGCCTCGCGGCCCTGGCATGGAGGGGCCCTCCCTCCACTCCCCCCAAAGAGATCGTTATGGCATAAACTCCAATTTGGCTCCACGCAGCTCCTTCCAATGGCCACCGAGGTAGATTTAATCTTTCCTCTGCAGCCAGAGATTTCAAGTACGCACGCGCAAACTGCAACCTAACTTGCTTATAGTTTACCAATCCCACCCCTTGATAGCCACGTAACGGCGCGCTTGTACACAACCTAGTTTGCTTGACTTTGGTAATCTATCCAGACTTTGGAGAGGTTGCTTTCTCTATAAAAGAAAAGGGATGAGCACATGATAGAACGCATGTAAACAGAACCAATGAAAATGACGCTTTTTGGCTTTTGCCCACCAATAAAAAGGTTCGTGTCTCCAAGGTTTCCATGATTGGATTAAACAGCAACACTACTTTTGTGATTAACTTCCGCTCTTGATTGGAGAACGTGGAGATAGCTGGTGGAGTGCAGGGATTGGCTGTTCCTCTTTTCCTTCCCCTCTTGATTGGGCAAGGCCGATACTTCCTACGTGGCCGATTTTCAGTGTTGATGGTATTCTCCAGAGCGGAGGGCTGGGGGAGGGGACGCCTTAAAGAAGCCGTGGCTGTTAAACCGCATGGGGTTACAGAAGGTAAAAATGTCCTCGACATAGCGTTTAACTGTTCTTTCATTTCTGGTCGGGACGAAATAAGAAATATTCATATATTTCTGTTTATAGAAATTATAATTCTACATAGGAAAGTGGATGTGAGGACAGCCAAAGCTGATCTGGACGCACAACGGAACGAATTGGGAAATTCCCAGGGAATGTATTTAAATGCTGATGGTTTCCTGCAATTAAAACTTTGTTCACTGAAGAAGTGGAGAGAACTACACGTTTGGTTAACAGATGCCCTAGTTTCAGTTGCTTTTTGGGTTTATTTGCAAGGGAGTCTTCATATGAGGAACTCGGACCCCTCAATTGCTGCCTACAGTGGTTCCACTCTGTTAGGACTATGACGCTCTTTCAAATGTCGAGTCTAACGTTTTTTATAAAGGTGACTGGATTGAATTTGCACCTGTGAAGGACCGAAACACCTTAAGAGGTTAAAAACAACCTTGCTACCTGCGATTTGAACCATAGCAACAGTGATGGCCTTTATCTCTAGTGGTGCATTCCGCTCCCATGGCTAAAAACTGTCTACACGCAGTATCTGATGAATAAACATGAGAGAATTATGCAGTCCTCAAAAAAGGATCAAGAAATAACAGTACCCCGTAATTTGGCCATATGAAATATACATTCGTTTGCAAAAAAAATGTTATATGTTAAAGAGTGGCAATGCAATAGATTACTGCAGAACTAATATGAGAAGGGAATACAAATTGATTATGTGCCATCAAGTCGCTGTCGACTTCTAGAGGCCACATAAATTTATATTGTGTATTTAAAGGACATTTTTTCATTCCATTTCATTTATGAAAATTCAGTCCCCCCAATTTGAAAGAAAATTCTGTCCATATAGACCATATATGTACAGCAATTTTTCTCCTTATAGAAATAATTTCCGATCACAGAAATCGTAACCAAAGAGAAGGTTTAAAAGATCAGATTTGCACGAGATGCAGAGATATACTCGAACCCCAATTACTGAGGATATTTAATCTTAAGAGATGTCAGATGTGAAGCGTTTGATATTAATATCTGGCAAAAAGGTATTTAAAAAGTGCATAAATACATTATTGTGTGAATAAATGATTAACCGTGTAGTAGCTGATCAACTCATTGTGACTAAAATACACCTGCTCCTATTACCAGAAAAATTTTTTAGAAAGTCTTTGCGTTCAAAACAGCTGAATGCTGGGATGCAGCAGTCATTTGGGGAGGAGAAGGGGGTCTCATGCGACTACTATGTGCGCTCAAATCTGTAAACGGTAGTCTAAATCTAACGTGCGCCTAAGTAAGCGTTTGTGAGGCATCCTGAATCGTGAAATGACCCGGTGGTGGTTCGGGGCAATCGCAAGAGCCAAGGTGCAGCAGCCCGAGGCGGAGAAAGGCGGCGGCCGGGCGGGGTCAGCGTCATGCGGCACAGTACGGAGCTTCTCACTTTTCTCTACTGGACACTGCTGGCGGAAGGAAGAATCGAATCGAGAGTTCTGCGGAAAAAGCGCGGGCTAAACCCGAGGTTGTTGAGCAGCAGCCACGGGAACAAGAATATGACCGAAGAAGCCAAAAAGCTGGCCGCCTGGGCTGCTGTAAACAATCACGTGCAGGTAGGGAGTTAATTTTGCAAGGAAATACATTCCTTCACTATTGTTTTTGGAACTGTTGCTTTTACCAAATGTTTTAAAAATTATAAAAATTGTATTCTGACATTTATAGACGAATGCAATTAATTTTCTTCATGACAAAAATGCGAGCTGATTTACAGATTTTATGGGTGCCGAAACTGCCACTTGTTCTGAAGTTGGATGAAGATTCTGAACAGATCTGTGGCAAAGGGCTCGTCCTACGCTGTGATCCTCAGGAGTACTTTCACCATTGGAATTGGATTTGCTTAAATTTGTAGTTCATAGTCATCTGAAACATTTTGACCCATATTATTAGTTAGATGGTTCCATTTGTTCTAAAAATGATCCGTAGATTTGTCTGGTGCTGTAATTTGCGTTACTATCCTTGCAAATAAAATTATTTATTTAATTCTGGATACTGGATATTAAGTTACTGATCAAACTCTTCACATGTTGGCTTTTCAGGCAACACATTATTTTTAATGCACAAAACACAGTTATGAAAAGCAGTTGTTTGAAACTGATGTGGGTACACACAGACAAACTATTTAGATATATTAGGTTAACTAGTAGCCAATTACATTTATCAACTATATAGATATTATTTTACTTTAGAGAAATTGGGGTTTGGTGTTTATTCTTTTTTTTGGCTTCCTAAATGTTCACAGAAGAAGAATTAGGTTTTTAGCCTGAAGAACTCTTGTTTAAATTGACTGTATGAAACATGTTTTTGTCTCATAGAAGCCAGACAATAACTGCTTAAAAGAAAGAAGTATGTCATTATACTGTTCAGTAAAGGTGTGGTACAATTTCTGTGTTGATTTACAAAAGCAAATATTTATGCTCCTTTGTAGACTAATCATGTCGTTGGAATTGGAAGTGGATCTACAATTGTTCATGCTGTACAAAAATTAGGTATTGTATTACTCTTACTCTTTTTTTGCCATAAGTATTTATTGTTCTGCAGAGTAAAATAGTTGGAGTACCTGCTTTGAAAGAATTCTTGAAGATGATCCCAGAATAGTAAACTTTCCTTTACAAAGCTTATTTATACTTTATTAAATTGATTTCCATCTTCCATCTAATACTGCAGTGAACAAAAGCCAGATTGATTCTAGAAACATTAAAAATCCTTTTAAGTTATATATCAATCGATTCCTACACATAATACAAACTGCCATTAATTCTTTTATGTACACAAAAACAAGTCTCCAAATTGTTATAGGTTTTAGAGTAATTGCTACTCTTCAGTTGTATAATACTGTACTTTAAATGAAGTTAACAACTGATCTGAATTATGACCAGATTCAGAGTTCCAATGGATGGATGGATGGATTCCTCCTTTGCAGTTCTCGTGACCAGACTTTGGACACTCATCAACATAGTCCCATTTACAACCATTAGCAGTGTCCTGTGGTCATGTAACTATTTTATGATATGTTTTGCTGAAATCCAGCATTTCCTGTTTTCAGGAAAACTGCATTTAGACAGCAGTGGCAGTTTAATAACCACAAAAATAAAAATCATAAAATAGGGTCAATGACATTACTGACCCATTTTATAAACATTATGGCATACAACTGTAATAGGCTGCTATTAACTTATATCAGTTGTCTTCAAACTTGGCCCTTTTATGACTTGTGGACTTCAACTCCCAGAATTCCTCAGCCAGGCATGCTGGCTGAGGAATTTTGGGAGTTGAAGTCCACAAGTCATAAAAGGGCCAAGTTTGAAGACCCCTGACTTATATCATACCCTGAGGACTAGTTATACATAAACTTTGAGGCAGTGATGTGATGGCTGTCACTGCATTAACTTACAGGACTATTGGAGAAATTTTTCATTTCAAAAATTTTAATTAACCAACATTAATTGAATGATTGTTATTAGTTATTCAGTCTATTAGAAGGGCTTTGGACATATTACTGGATAATACAAGATAAGGCCCTTTTTCTACAAAATAAGTTATATGTGACAATTGCTATTTTCTACCAATGTAGGCACTGAGAATGATCAAATGTTGTGTGAATTTCTGAGAATAGTGAAATGCAATCCAAATTCCTCTTGAAATGGCCTCCCATGACTATGCAGCCTGCACAGGCCCTTCCCTGGTCTCCCCTGCCCATGGCACAGACACTCTTTACCTGAGACTCCCAATGATGTGGACATATGACATCACATTTTATGACTGCATGCTAACATTGGCAACGCCAGTCCTAATTGCTGTCATATTCCAAGCACTATATGTAGTAGGAATTTACAGGAATAGAAGGCTCAGGTAACAAACCTGTTAAAACATTTCATTAGTATTAATTTTGACAAAATGTCACATTGATAATTGAAAAACTATTTCTAAGTGTAAGGAAAAAGTTTATTTCATCTTTTTTGGGTGGTTTCTGATTATAAGAGTTAAATAATAATTTCCACTTTTGTTCTCTTTATGATTACATTAGATAGGTTTCCCCTTTATCATTGTTTTATTTATTTAACAATGGATCTCTTACAACAGGGCTTTTCAACCAGTGGTACGGGTACCACCGGTGTACATTGGCACCTGGCAGGTGGTACGCGACCATCCTAGAAAAGTAGCGGGGGAGGGGAATGAGCTGAACCAGTGGCAGCACTGCACAAACCTGAGTGAGAGATGGCTGGAGCTGCAGGGCTCAGCGGAAGCGCCAGGATCAGCCCTTCTTCAGGGCTGTCAGGGCTCAGTGGAAGCGCCAGGATCAGCGCCAGGGTCCAGCTGGAGCTTGGCACTGATCCTGGCACTTCTGCTGAGCCCAGAAGAAGCGCCGATCAGCTGGAATGTTACAGCATCTCCAGGGTCTTGTGATTTATATTCAGATGCTTGGCCACTGATTCATATTTATGACAGTCACAGTGTCCCAGAGTCATGCAAAGTGACCAAAACCTGTTGCAATCACCCAGCAGACGGGGGAAATAAAAACCAAACACCCCCCAACCCACCCCCGCTGCCAATCCTCAACAGAAATGCTCACAACAATGAAAACCTTGGAGGAAGAACACAGCCGGGCGGGCAGGCAGGTGTCTTGCTCAGCTGTGGCTTGGGGGGCACTTTTTTCAGTGCCATTATAACCTCAAACAATCACTAAGTGAACTATTGTAAGTCGAGGACTACCTGTACTTTATCACTTTTTTCCTTTTTTGGGGGGGTCATCAAGTTTTTGACACCTTGCTAGGTGACTGGTGGTACTCGGATGTTGCCATATCCTAAAAGTGGTACAATGGGTGAACAGGTTGAAAAGCCCTGCCTTACAACACTCAGCAATAAGAACAAAATTAACAGAAGCAAGAAAGAGGAAACCAGATATGGACACAAACCACCCCAGGACTCAAAGATACACCGAAATAAAGCTATTTTGAGGTTTGTCCTATAGATAAGATTAGTAGGACCAATTACAGTGAGGCAGGGACATCAGAGGACAAATACCTGGAATCTTATCTCTGGAATCTCCCCTTTGGGGAGGTACCATAGATAAGAAGGAAATGGTCCCTTAAGGAATCAAAAGAAAAGAATCATCTGAAGCAAGCAAAGGAGGTTGGGTCTGAGCCCACAGAAATCCTCAGTTCCAACTACAGCTACCAGACACAATGGATTCTACCTTGTGCCTGGCAGTTTAGCTGAAGATGTGTTTGTGTGTGTGTGTGTGTGTGTGTGTGTGTGAGAGAGAGAGAGAGAGAGAGAGAGAGAGAGAGAGAGAGAGAATGAGAAAATGTACATTATAATCAGTACCCTTGCTGCTATTTAAAATTCAGCAGGTCTTTCTGTATCTCAAAGAACCTGATATTGCCTCAGTATTTGTTTGAAAGTGCTTTGTTTATGTTCCTCATTATTTCAGCTGTTGACTAGGGCTATTCATCTTGTCTGATGTAGCCAATATAGCAGGATATAAATAAAGAAGCCTAGTACGGAACATTTTTTAAATAGAGACATTTCAGCAGAGATCTATTAATATGGATTGTTGTTAATGGTTTACATCTTTAGTAAATCCAATAATTTTTCTTCTACAGCTGAGAGGGTCAAAAAAGAGAATCTCAACATAGTTTGTATACCTACCTCTTTTCAGGTAAATTCTTCCTTTTAACAATTTATTGACCATTAGTAAATCACTTGCTGTTCTTATCTTGGAAATTTCGGTTCAGATTTCTAAGTTGCATTGAATTCATGGGGACTGACTTTTGAGTAGACCTATCTAAGTCTTGTCTAGCCATTCCATCCACCTACTTTTTTTGTCCTTAGCGCTTACTGTGTCATTTATACACTCTTATAGTACATTCCCTTTCCCCTTAACTGCAGTGGGTCAGGAAAGAAAATTTCTAGAATGCTGAAGAGAAGGTGCCCACAGTTGGAGGCCTTAATCAAACTTAATTGAAAATATTAAGAGAGGTTGCTAGGCTCTTGTATCACCATTTACCATCTCTGTCTCCCAATCTCAAACATCAGATAGATCACACACAGATCAATCTATGTATGAATGGATCTTTGAAGGACGTAAAATTTAGGAGAATGATTATTGACTGTAATTGCCCCAGGAATCTATTTCTTCATGGAAACTAGTGCATATGTGTATTCCCATGCCTATATATGCAGTTTTTATTGGCTTTGATTCTATAATATGAGTGAATCTCTTTATTAGCTGTAGACTATGACAAGATACATACAATAAAACATTTGTATCAATATTGAGAAATAATATTGCCTTTTATTTCCCTGTAGGCACGTCAATTGATTCTGCAGAATGGCTTGACCTTAAGTGATTTAGACAGACATCCTGAGGTAAGTTGGTTAGATTATTCTTAGACACTTTGTCCCATTATCCAGTTCTCAATGCTTTTTAGTGATTTTAATGTGCATTTAATCATCAACATGAAAGAAAGTAACAGATTATTTAAAACCTTGACTCTGTGTCAATTCAAAGGTGACTTCTTTCCCCCCATCCCATAGCTCAACCAATATTTACAACTTTGTACATAAATATCTTTTGGGAGTACATTATCGCCCTAATGGCTTTAATTCAGCCATAATTTATTCAAAGATTTTCATAAATGAATAATTCCAAACATTCAGAATATAATTTAACAAAACATTGATATATTTGATCGCTAATTTTCCCTCCAAAGAATCTGGTTCATCATAATAGTCATATCCAATCAATAAGGAATTACCAATAAATAGAAGTGATAATTGGCATTGTGTGTGTGTGTGTGTACACTTTCTCTGTATATATTTTGATGTCGTTCATTTTTACATCAATTCTATGCCACAGATTTAGAAATGTTTTTGTCCTAATGTCTCCTTTGATCTGCTTAATATAATTTTCACCAGTCCTCTGGAACTACACCACTTTGCCAATATTGATTAAACAATGTTACCATTTCTTTCACCACAACCTGGTTTTAAGATCTTTGAGGTTATCTCATATAAGCCAGGTCTCTCATTGTTTTTAAGGCTTTTAATCACTATTTTTATTTCTTCAGTTGTAATTTCATCAGTATTCACTTGAAGCTCTTATAGGGCACACTCTTCATTAAAATTGTATATAGAGAGCGGGTTTGGCTAATTAAGAGTTTCCTGGAAGTGTTCAACCCATCTTTTATTTTGCTCGTCTTGGATGACCAGAAACTGAGCAAGGCTTGAACAGTAAATAAATTCTAAATCTTCCTAAGATACTCAGAAACATCATTTCCAACAGATGATTTGATATAAGAATGTAATAGAAACATGGATGGTTTGTTAGGATAGAAAGTTACAATGAATGTTGTTAGTGTAAACTAAATAGATATTGTTTTAAAAAAACCTCTAATATTTGATTTACTTTAAGTATTACTATTAACTCTTTTTCATGCTTTGCTAATGTTGCTTACTTCAAAAGGGAATAGTATGATGGGTATATCTGTTTCTATGTTGATGACTTAGAGTACCCGGAGGACAGTTTGTGTATTGTGGTCATCTTAATTGGCGTGCCCTCCAGATATGTAATTCCCAGAATTGCCCCTTGGTCCTGTTAGCTGGATATTCTAGGAACTGTAGTCACAGCATATGATAGGATGGATAAGGTCCTTTTCATGGATGTCAACTCTTTCCAACCAGATATGTGAAATTCACAGAATACCAATGTAACAATTTTACAATGTACCTTTGTAAAAAAAAAAAAAGTTACTGGTAAGACTCCCTGGAACCTATTGTTTTCATTTTAGAACCATATAAAGAGGTCTTTCTAACTGCCTGCTTTTTAAATATCAAATATTTTAATCTAGCTTCTTTCTCATGTTGTTCCCTGCCATAATACTTCTATTGCTTTTACTATTCCTGTTAGATGTTCCTAAGCCTGGTTCTCAATTGGTATAGAATTACTAGAATTACTTTCTTTTAGGTCTGGCAAATCATTCAACAAGATTATGCCTCACTGCTATGTGTTTCTATTTTTTTGGGGGGGGGTATTGTGTATTTTGTGTATTTTAGTTTTTTATTTAAGCCAGATGGGCAGCTATATGGAATGAATAAACTTATTTTATTGACTAATTGATTGAATGGCACCTACAGCCAGAAGACTTTTAAAGCAGTCATTTGATTTTTTTACCTTTGACAAGTAGATCTAAAGGGCTGCCTTATTAAAAGATTTGGACAGGCCTACTTTCCTCATAGTAGAAGTGTTTTGTGTATGTATTACAAATTGTTCTTTTTATGTAGTTGAATGTTGCTATTGATGGAGCTGATGAAGTTGACTCAGACCTCAGTCTCATCAAAGGAGGAGGGTAAGAATAATTTCTATTTTTGTATTCATTGATAATCAATTAGATAAAATATGTGAGTGTCTCTCCAGTAGTATATATTGTTTTGATCTGAAAGATAAAATGTGTAGCTTTATAAGTTAATGTCTCATTAAATTGCTGAAGGTAAACTGTAATATTTGCTTGAGGACTATATAGAAGACTATATAAGTCAAGCAGGTTGGGAAATATTAATGTAAGGATTGTTGTAAGGACTAAATGTTCTACTGCTGAGCTGGGGCTCTTACCTGCATTATTGAAAGAATGAGCAAGATGATCCAAGGAAATTATCTTATCCCAGGGCACACCCTGGTTTGTGTGACCAAATCTTTTCCAAAATGAGGCAGACATCAAATCCGACGGATTTCAGTGTGTGTTGACATTGTGTGATTAGAACCCTTTCCTGCAGATTTAGAAACAAGACAAATAGTTGGAAAATGCAACTTAGTTTTGCCACCTCCCCTTAACACTTCTGCAAATGTCTCTGTTTTTGTTCTGATATTTGCAAACAAAGTTCTAAAATGATATCTATCAAGTAGCAGAAATTCGAAACATTTTTTTCAGCTGCTATGGGATGGAAAGTAGCATTGAATATTATTTTGCTTTAAAATGAGAGATTTACAGAAATATTTGCATGGATTTTATTTTAGGAAGAAAACTGTATCCCACACAATTTTCAGTGTTCATCTTTAATAATGGGTTTAAGAATTAGAGTAAATGTAGGAAAAGGATCACATATTATAGAAATATGTCTGTCACATGTCCATAGCTTAGTAACTCCTATTGACTTTAGCAGAATTTAAGTATAAAAATGTTTTTATGTTTGTAAACAGTATTTTTTACTGAGGTCACTTATTTGGACAGGGTATGTGTATGTACTAATCCTGTTATATTTAAAAAATTGACCACATTTTGTCCAAAGCGACGAATATTCGTAAAATTCATGATATCTGATTTAGAGATGTAGGAGGCCGATAGGACAAAAAAAATTTCAACTTAAATGCTAAAATCCTGTATCAAGATTTGGGGTTTTATTTCATTGTTAAAAATGGTGTTGGATGCTTTTTTCAAAAATTGACCATATTTGTCCATGGCAATGAAAATTTGTAAAATTTGTGATGCCTAGTTCAAGGGTTTAGGTGGCTGGGAGGACAAAAAAAATTTCAACCTAAATGCTAAACAGTTCCTCTGTTAGGATTTGGGGCTTTATTTGGTAACAGCGATGATGATCTCATTTTTTATGAATACTATGATGAATTAATATGACTTGTGGTAAAGGAAAATAAATATGCTTAGATTTAAATTTGGTATTAACCTACTGACTAGTTTGTGTGAGCTTGAAAGCTGTTCTTTTATTCTTCAGGGGTTGCCTGACGCAGGAGAAGATAGTAGCTGGTTGTGCAAAAAGCTTCATAGTTATTGCTGATTACAGGTAAAATGACTTAGCGTTCCTTGTTGCGGTTTCCCCTTTAAGAAGCTGCAGAAAGGGCTGTGTTTATTCATAGCAGGTTTTCATATAAATTTATATCAGAGTGATATATCTAATCTAGTTTTACTTAAGCTGTTAGGGGTTGAAATGTTGCATTATGTCATGTCCCCATGTATGAAGTTTTAACAAGAATTGGACGCAAGATTCTCTTTTTTTTACATAGAGTATATCCGGTGTGGTATTTTTACTTTCTATAATCACCAGGTGGTAGTACTCCATTGGTTTTCTTCTCAATTAGGCCATGTCAAACTTGTCTAGATAGATATGGGTCCCTATATCCTATTTCCTGGTGGTCTCTGTAAAATAAAAACACCTGAGCTTATGTGTAACTTCACAAATATATATATTTTTATATATCTCATTTACAGAAAGTCCTCAACTTAACAATCAGAATCGTACTGGAAAATTGTTAAGTGCAGTTATTAAGTGAGGCATCATGTAACTTTACAATCTTTTTTGTCACGGCCATTAAGCGAGATATCAAGTGACTTCCCCTTTTGGCTTCCCCATTGACTTTGCTTTTTGGAAGCTATCTGGGAAGATCACAAATGGCAATCAGATGAGTGCAGGATGCTGCAACAGTTGTGAGAGATAGTTGCCAAGTGCCCGGATTGTGATCATGTGACATCCTGCAATAGTTGTAAGTGCAAGGATTGGTTGTATATTGGAAGTGCCATTGGAATTTCAGGTGGTCGCTAAATGAGTGGTCGTAAGTCAAAGACTATATTAACATAGTCAATATAAAAGCATACACATTTATTACATATGTAAAATGTTTTCATGCTGACATAGTGTTGTCTTGCTTAGTCCTCTATGTTTCCTGAACACGCTGCTATATAATGAATTGCTCATCCTCTCAAAACAACTCAGATGTTGGTTATAATCAGCATTGTCCTAGATAGTCACACACACAAATCTGAAATTGTATATCATCTCTTGAGCATGTGCCTTTCTGTTTGTTGGTATTGTTTAAAGGCATTGTGTTCTGGCTTTCAGAAATAAAGTCAGGATATCTCAGCAAGTTGAAGTTTGTTTGTAGATTCCTGCTGTTATTACTATCATAATATTAATGTACATCTTTTAACCCATATTCTTGTAGAAAAAAGTCTAAAAACCTTGGAGAACAGTGGAAGAAGGGGATTCCTATTGAAGTTATTCCAATGGCCTATGTGCCAATCATTAAGCTTCTGACCAATAAATTTGGAGGTATTACAGAGTTGAGGATGGCTGTCAATAAAGCTGTATGTATAGTTAAGAAATTCATAATCTGCATGGTATTGGTGTATAGAAACAATTACTAATTCTTTCCTTTTCAGAGTGGGTGGACAGGTAAACCTTTGCTATTAATAAATTATTAGCTTTAGAACTTCCGGTTTTGCGCGGTAGCGACTGGTCACAGGCTTGCGGATTCTCTGCACCCCCACTGCTAATTTCGCCCTGCCAGGGGAAACTAAATGGTCTAAGTCGCCCAGGAGAGGCAGCGAAGAAAGAAGGGTGCTCCAGCGATTCTGGAACGGCAGCGGCCGTTTCGGTCACCTTCTAACCAGTAGGATAAAGGCTGGCCATACTTCATCGACCAGCCCAAGCTACTTGCAACCGAAGTCCAAAAGTACTAACCAGAACAACTGTGAACAGCGTGCTTGAAACTGGGTGAGGAATTTCTATGCTATATTTAATTTCCTGGAAAAGATCCCCAAAAAGCAAAATGCCTCCGAAAGGGAAGGAGGGGGATTTCTGCCCCACCTTTATCCTAACGGAAGCGGCAAATTAATCTTTTTATGGAGGATCAACATATATGGAAATGAAATAAATATAAAACCTGAAATTTAAAACTTAAATCTGGATAAATCTAAAATTGTTGAATGGTTAAGACTCTCATTCTAAAGATAATAGTTCATTTTGGAAATTGAAAAACAAATAGATGCTGACACTTGGTGGTGGATGAGGACTATGACAGCTATGACTTTCATATAAGACTTGGCAAAACTTGGGAAAAGCTGTGTTTGTAACCTTCAAAGCTTTAACAACAAAGAACAACTGTGACAAAAAAGACAATCTGGGCTGTAGACAAAGAGAATTATAAATTTCAGGAAAAAAAATCTTTTTTGAACTATTTGGATTACAAATATCTATTTAATCAGGACTCTAAAGCTATTTGCAGAGAAAAGAAAAGAAGAGAAAAACTCAAATTCTTGGCCATCATGGATCAGAGACATGTAGAAAGAACATATCAAGAAAACATAAATACTCCACACGAGGAGATATATAGTATTCTGCAACTAATTCAAACAACAATGATTTTAAATCACAAAGAAATCCAAAATAACTTTGAAAATATAACAACAACAACAACAATAATAATAATAATAATAATAATAATAATAATAAAAGTTGGAAGGGACCTTGGAGGTCATCTAGTCCAACCACCTGCTAGGCAGGAAACCTTATACCAGGGGTAGGCAACCTTGGCTCTTATGATTCGTGGACTTACACTCCCAGAATTCCTGAGCCAGCCCTATACCATTTCGGATAAATGACTGTCCAGTCTGTTCTTAAAAACTTTAAAACTTTCAGTGTTGGAACATTCACCGCTTCTGGAGGCAGGTTGTTCAACTGGTTAATTGTTCTAACTGTCAGGAAGTTTCTCCTTAGTTCTAGGTTGTTTCTCTCCTTGATTAGTTTCCATCTGTTGCTTCTTGTCCTGCCTTCAGGCACTTTGGAAAATAGCTTGACTCCCTCTTCTTTGTGACAGCCCGAGATATTGGAACAGTGCTATCATGTCCCCCTTCGTCCTTCTCTTCGTTAAACTAGACATAGCCAATTCCAGCAACAGTTCCTTATATGTTTTAGCCTCCAGGCCCCTAATCATCTTTGTTGCTCTTCTCTGTACTCTTTCTAGAGTCTCAACATCTTTTTTACATCGTGGTGACCAAACCTGGATGCAGTATTCCAAGTGTGGTCTTACCAAGGCATTGTAAAGTGGTATTAATACTTCATGTGATCTTGATTTTATCCCTCTGTTAATGCAGCCCAGTACTGTATTGGCTTTTTTGGCAACTGCAGCACACTGCTGGCTCATATTTAAGTGATTGTCCACTAGGACTCCAAGATCCCTCTCACAGTTACTACTATTGAGCAAAGTACCCCCTGTATTATACTTGTACATTTGGTTTTTCTTGCCTAAATGTAGAATCTTACTTTTTTCACCATTGAATTTCATTTTGTTAGATAGCGCCTAGTGTTCAAATCTGTCCAGATCCTCCTGTATCTTAAACCTGTCTTCTGGAGTGTTGGGTATTCCTGCCAGCTTGGTGTCGTCTGCAAATTTGATGAGTTCCCCATCAATCCCCTCATCCAAATCATTGATGAAGATATTGAAGAGCACTGGGCCCAGAACAGAGCCCTGGGGCACCCCACTACACACTTCCCTCCATGTAGATGCAGTTCCATTGAGGACCACACACTGAGTACGGCTGGTCAGCCAGCTACGAATCCATCTGATGGTGATGTTGTCTAACCCACATATTTTTCTATCTTATCGAGTAGTAGGTTGTGATCTACTTTATCAAATGCCTTACTGAAGTCCAAGTAAATTATATCCACAGCATTCCTCTGATCCACTAATTTTGTCACTTGGTCAAACAATGCAATAAGATTTGTCTGGCATGATCTGTTTTTGACAAACCCATGTTGGCTTTTAGTAATGACTTTGTTTGCCTCTAAGTGTTCGCTGATTCGTTGTTTGATTATCTTTTCCAGAATCTTCCCAGGTATTGAGGTCAGGCTGATAGGTCTGTAGTTTCCTGTATCTATTTTTTTTTTTTTTTGGAAGATGGGAACTACATAAGCTCTTTTCCAGTCCTCCAGTAGTTCCCCAGTGCTCCAGGATCTTTGAAAAATATAGTTCAGTGGTTCTGAGATCACATCTGCCAGTTCCTTGAGAACCTTGGGGTGTAATCCATTTGTTTCTGGTGATTTGAACTCGTCTAGGCTGGACAGGTGCTCACTTAGCATTTTCTTGCCTGTCTTAACTTGTGTTTCTATTCTGTTTTTTATGGCACTATTTTTGATTAGGTTGGTCTGTTTTTTCCCTTTGTATAAAGACAGATGCAAAAAATTAGTTAAATAGTTCTGCTTTCTCCTTATTGCTCATCACCTTCTTGCCACTTTCACCCACTAATGGACCAATCATTTCCTTCACTTTTTTCTTGTTTTTTACATGTTGAAAGAAGCTTTTTTTGTTATTTTTGACTTTGGTCGCAAGCCTTAGTTCATTATAAGCCTTAGCTTTCCTCACTTCATCTTTGCAGGCTCGGGCTATTTGCTGATATTCTGACTTACTTATGTGCCTCTCTTTCCACTTTCTATACTTGTCCTTTTTATCTTTCAATTTATCAGAGAGTTCTTTATGCAGCCATGCTGGTTTCTTTTGAGAGCTGTTATTTTTCCTCTTTGTTGGTTTGTACTAGACTAGGCTTTTATTATCTCACTTTTCAAAATTTCCCAAGCTTCTTGAGTTATTTTCCCCTTGAGGATTCTCATCCATGGAATCCTTCCCAAGCCCTCTCTAGGTTTATTGAAATTAGCTCTCTTGAAATCCAAGGCTCTAGTTTGACTGTGTTCTATTGCTTGTGCTTCCATAATGTTGAATTCCAATATTGCATGATCACTTCCTCCCAAGGTTTCTGTGGCTTCAACACCTTCTATCATTTCATCTCTGTTAGTGAGAATTAGATCCAAAATGGCTAATCCCCTAGTTCCCTTCTCTACTTTTTGGGAGACAAAATTGTCTGCTAGGTTTGTCAGGAATCTGTTTGATCTTCCTCTTGATGCAGAGTTTGTTTCCCAGGTGATGTCAGATAGTTAAAGTCCCCCATTACTATTGTGATGTGCTTCCTGCATACCTTAGTTAGCTGACTAGTTTATCTATTTCCTCTGTTTGGTTGGGTGGCCTATAGTATATACCTATGGCAATGTCATTTTTTCTCCCTTTTATATTGACCCAAATGCATTCAAGACAGTTTTCATCATTGTGCTCTATTTCTGTAGAGATGTAGTTATTTCTTATATAGAGAGCAACTGCACCTCCTCTTTTATTTGGTCTGTTTCTTTTAAATAATTTAAATCCCTCTAGCTATGTGTTCCATTTGTGGGTTTCATCCCACCATGTTTCCGTAATGGCAACAATATCATATCTGCCCTCATTAACCTGAATTTCTAGTTCACCATGTTTGCTGTTCATACTCTGTGCATTGGTGTATAGACATTTGAGTCCTTTATTACTGACCCTGTGTTTACTTTCTACATAACCTGTGTGGTGCCTGAGTTCCCCTATTGTCTTACCACCTATTTGGTTAATGCACTTTATGTGGCACTTGCTATTAAAAGCTTGATTTTGCTTGACAGCAAGGTTGATATTCTTGTCCACACACACATCTATGTTACATGCACTGATAGGCCCATAGTTTTTAGATTGCCGGGGACAGGGATGTTCTGTTTCAATTAACTCACTGTCGCCGCTGTTTAGTTTAAATATTCCTCCAGAAAGTCTGTGAATTTATAGCCGAGTAACACAGTCCCTTTCTTTGATGGATGCAAACTATCTCTTTTGTACATTTTTTCATTGGACCAGTTACTGACATCGTGACTAATATATCCAAAGCCTTCCCCTTTACACCACTCCTTTAGCCACATACTGACTTGTGCTATACTCTGGCCTTTTCCATTTTGCTCCTTATACACTGGTAAAACCTCTGAAAAAGTAAGCCTACAGCCTATTCTGCTCTGGAAATCATTCTGCACAGAGAGTACATCTTTTTGGGATAGATGGTTAGTGCCAAGATGTACAATAACCTCCACATCACAGTCTTTGCTGGCATTCTTGGTTATTTTAGAAATACGCTTCTTGTCCCTACTGGCAGTAGTACCTGGAAGACACCTGACCTCTTTTGAAACCTCTGTGTCCTTTCCTAAATTTACATCCCTTATAATTGAATCACCAACCAGAAGGTGGCTTTTCTTTTTGGATGCATTTCTGTCCTTACATGACTGATGTGTAATCAATCTATTTCCAAGTTAACTTTGCAACAAAAAAATTCCCAGAAAACAACAACAGAGAAGAAGCAGATAAAACAGATAAATGGATACAAAATTGAGAATAGAGACTTAAAGATGGAACTTAACAAAACAAGGAAACATGATTTAATCCTAGTGGGGAAAAATGCACAAGAATTGGAAAAAACAACTTATCCCTTAATACTACAAAATAAATCTGAGGACAAGAAAACAGATTGGATAAAATGGACTGTAGAGATGCCAGGAACATCGTAGAGAAGAAATGATAAGAGAAGCGGAGAGAAAGAGAAAAGAAAAAGATTTCCAACCAACATGGAAAGGCAGAAGCCCCGTACAAAGATATTTCACCTGATTTACTTTTTATATCTACAGTAACATTTACGAACATATGGAAAAACCTTTCAACTCAGCAAAACATATTGATCAAGAAAGATACTGGGCAAAGGAAAAAGACCAAAGTGGAAATCAAGAAAATAGATAATGGGACCTACCAAAAAGAATACTTAAAAAAAAGAAACATTTGTTTGAATATGGTTAAAGAAATAGGAAAGATTTGGAATATATATGTCATTCTAAGAGGGATGAATCCCCTAAATAATATAGTATGCTTTTTCCCCTTTTTTATTCTATTTCTAGATATGAGTAATATAAAAAAGTTGAAATGGCTTAGATAAAGGAAATGTTTTAGATATTTAAATGTGATTGAATTTAAGAAAATTATAATGGATAAAAATGCTTTGAATAAGAGTTAAAGGACTAAATGACTAGATGTATTAAATGGAATACTTAAAGATTAAACATTTTTAATTATGGTTAAAAAGAGTAAGAAATCTTGGAAACATATATTAGGTTAGGAGGGATATATATTTTAAGTAGTATGCTATTTTTTATGTTTCTTTACTCTTGCTCTCCTTTCTTTTCTTTTTTTTTACTGTTTTATCTATTCCTTAAGAAATGTAAAAGTGTTGAGATGGTTCATATGGAAAAAATAGACTTAAATTTTTAAATGTAATTTTTGAGAAAATCTTAACCAGTAAGAATACTTAGAATTTTGTGGGAGAAACAAATTTAAATAAGGACTGTAACAGGATCTACGATAAGGCAACCAGAATGATTGGATAGAAAAGAAATATTATATTGATGTGATTATTATTTTTAGGAATATTGGAAAAAATTATATATTTGTTATCTATTAAAACAATAAGAATTGTATTAACTCAATGTTTGCAAAAGAGGACATTTTGGGGAAAAGAGGAAATCAACTAAAGCCATTATGTGGATTATGGATTATAGAAATCAATTATTTTTTTACAAATGTAAAACCAGACAACACACTGTTCACCAATTATTAAGTGATTTACGTTTAAAAAAAAAATAAAATATATTACAAAAATAAATAAATAAATTACCGTATTTTCCGGCATATCAGATGACTTTCTAAACCCTGAAAATCTTCTCAAAAGTTGGGGGTCATCTTATACGCCGGAAAATACGGGTATTCTATTTTATTCCTTTATATAAGCTGAGGACACAATGGGGGCGGCAGCCGGGAGCCGCTGCCTCCCGTCCTGCTCCCCCTCCTTGGACGCGATGGGGGCAGCGGCCGGGAGCTGTTGCCTCCTATCTTGCTCCCCATCCTCGCCCGTTCACCTGAGGACGCGATGGGGGCGGCGGCCGGGAGCCGCTGCCTCCCATCCTGCTCCCCCTCCTTAGACGCGATGGGGGCGGCGGCTGTGAGCTGTTGCCTCCCGTCTTGCTCCCCATCCCCGCCTGTTCAGCTGAGGACGTGATGGGGCGGCGGCCGGGAGCCGCTGCCTCCCGTCCTGCTCCCCCTCCCTGCCCATTCGGCTGGGTGTGGCATGGACTCCCGACGATGCTGCAGTGGCCGCTGCCGTGCTGCCGCCGCCGCCACTGGAGCCGCTGCCTCCCGTCCTGTTCCCCCTCCCCGCCTGTTCGCCGCCGTCTGCCTTTCATTCTCTCTCTCTCTCTCCTAACCTGGAGGGAGAGGGAGAGAGAGAAAGAGGAAAAAAAGAGAAGAGAAAGAGGAAAGAGAGAGAGAAGAGAGAGAGAGAAAGAGGAAAGAGAAAGAAAGAGGAAAGAAAGGAAAGAGAGGAAAGAGACAGAGAGAGAGACTCTTTTGACATCTAAAATGAAGATAACACTGCATATATCCTTTTTACCTCTATTTTATACACACACACACACACACACACACACACACATATCATAATGGTAAAAAAGGATTTATGCAGTCTTATCTTCATTTTAGATATCAAAAGGATTTTGTGGTTCCCAGTGTTTTGTTTTCGGTGGGAAACGTGTCCAAGTGGCTCTTTGAGTGTTTTGGGTTGCCTACCCCTGATATAGCCCAAACTCTATATTTTAACTGGAAAAGTTGGGGGTCGTCTTATACGCCCAGTCGTCTTATACGCCAGAAAATACGGTACTAGCTTTGCAGAGGTCAGGATGGGCCAATCTTATGCAAGATTTACTTGCATAAATCTTTGTTTATTGAGTTTTGCCACATATCAGCTGGAATAATATATTTGTTGTTCCAGTTTTTTCACTTATTGTAAACCTTGGGATTGGCTTTTAAAATACTGTACAGCTCCTAGTTGGCTTCTACTAACACATTTCAAAGAGCTCAGACCAAGATAATCTTTCACTCCTCTTTTCCATTTGCAGGAAGGGATATTATAGCATCCTGACTACTTTGAAAATGAAAACAGAGAACTGGGCAACAATAGTACTCCTAACAAGCAATGTATTCTCTTCAAAATGTCACATGCAGGAGTGCCACTACTGTAAAAAGTAAAGTTGATTTTCTTAAGGGACCAAAAGCCTATTGCAGCTTCTCCAAGTTCAAGCCTATAGTAAAATTTTAGCTTAGGAATAATTTTAACTGGCCTATGCCAGCTCAGTCCCCTTCAGATATTTTATTTTATTTTTGAAATGTTTAATTTGTCCAATGGCCAAATTCTTTAGGAAGGTTACAGTAAAACACAGTAAAATACAATCTAAATAAAAACATACATAATTAAAAAATAAAAATATAAAATAAAACTGTAATATAAATAGGCAGTAATGTGATAGTCAAAACGTAAGAACTAAAACTGCTGAAAGGCCTGAACAAATAAACAATTTCTCTGGTGCTGAAAAGACATACAAAGAACAGTTGCAGGAATTGGGTATGTCTAGTCTAGTGAAAAGAAGGACTACGGGTGACATGATAGCAGCGTTCCAATATTTGAGGGGCTGCCACAGAGAAGAGGGGTTCAACCTATTTTCCAAAGTACCTGAAGACAGGACAAGAAACAATGAATTGAACAATGGATGGAAACTATCTTAGAACTAAGGAGAAATTTCCTGTCAGTGAGAACAATTAACCAGTGGAATGGCTTGCCTCCAGAAATTGTGGGTGCTCCATCACTGGCAGTTTTTAAGAAGAAATTGCATAGCCAATTGTCCAGAATGGTATAGAGTCTCCTGTTTGAGCAGGGAGTTGGACTATAAGGATAAGTATTCTTGTTCTGTGATTTGCTTCCATTCTGTTGTCTTATGTCTAGAAATTACACTATATTAACAAATCTATGTATGATTTTTGCAGGTTAGTTTTAGATAAAATATTCACATACAGGTCACTTTAGATGTGTCTGATTTATACCTCAAAATAAAAGATCTTGTGTGTAATATTTTTTACTTTTGCTTTTTAGGGACCTGTGGTGACAGACAACGGGAATTTTTTATTGGACTGGAAATTTGATAAAGTCCATAATTGGAATGAAATGAATATAGCAATCAAGATGATACCAGGTGGCCTTCATATACCATTTAGTTTTAATAGTGCAAAGGATTAATTTTGGGGTCTCTGAATTATTGTAGTACTTTCAAAAGCAATTAGGTATATTACCCTTATGTGTTCAATGTCTTAAGATTGGAGCAAAATTGAAACTTTCAAAGATTAAATTTATTCTTTTGGTTTAGTTCTGTAAAACCTGTAGCAAGGTGATAGCTAAAAGTTTTTTTTTTTTCAAATTATAACCAAAAATGCAAGGTATGTTATTGAAGAAATTGTGAACATTACTGCATCTGTGGGTGGCAATGTTGTTTCATGAAAATAAGTCATGTCACCAATGTAAAATTTAGCATTTTTTGTTCATTTTCTCAGTTAGTTCATGTCCGAAGTTTTAATTGGTATTGGGCAAAGCTGTTGTATAGTTTTTACAATATGAGTTAGATAATTATAAAATAATCCCTTATGGGTGCTCATAAGTACTTGGGCAGTAAGGGAACCTGCTTTTGATAAAAGTGTTTGGTCTACTGTTTGGATGTTGCATTGCATAAAACCTCAATCTGTTTATCCTATAGGACTAATATATATAACTAATATAAAGTAATTTTCAAGTAGACATCAGAAATCTTCCCAACTGCCTTGTCTGGCTTCTCTTGCTCACAGTTTGAGGCTACAGTTCTTATTTCTTTTGCTTCTTTTTTTCTATGAAAAAATCAGTGAGACACATATGGAGAAAAAAGGGATGGTGGGCAAATTGTCAACTTTGCTTTTGCTTCTAAATTATCTCAAGATGAACCTTATCGGGGGAAAAAGAAAATGTATTTTCTTGACTCCCTTTTCCCCCTTGGAGTTCAACAATCCAAGGCAGTAGAAAAGAAGTTCCCTGGTGCAATACTTCTCAACCTCAGCAACTTCAAGATATAAAGACCTGGAATTCTGGGAGTTGAAGTCTGCACAACTTAATTGTTGAGGTTGAGAAATACTGCCCTGGTATATGTCGTGTTTTAATATAGGATTTTCGTTTTTGAAGCTTTCAGTATATTTCATCTCAGTTAGATTTATACCATTAAGATACGAATATTATTTAATGTGCAGTATTTTAGTAATAATTAAAAGTAATTGAACTTTTCTGTTTTAGGAGTGGTGGAAACAGGTCTCTTCATCAATATGGCAGAGCGGGTTTACTTTGGCATGGAAGATGGTTCTGTTAGTGTACATGAAAAGCCAGTTCACTGACTTCTTACAATTATTCAGTTCTGCTCTGCTATCTTGTTATGATGCCAGCTTGACAACTTGCCTTAAAGCATTCAGTCTGAATCTCAGTGAATGGAGTTAAAAGGTCCAGAGAATGTCATCTTAAAATCTATTTTTTAATGTAATTTTTAAAAAGTGATCATCATTTTGAATGTTTCAAACTTTTTATTTTTTATATAATTTACAAAAAAGTTACTTTGTGCAGAATTGAAATATTTTGACTGCAGTGCATTATGAGGGGAAGAAAGTAAATAAAATATATGATATGGTTGAATCCAAAAAACCCAAGGCGTATTTGTGTGAAAGGGCTGTATTCAGCTAGAAATCATTTTGGTTCTATATTTTATGCCTTTAAAATGATTTTAATCATTATTTTTAATTAGATAATGTCTTGTTATATTCTTGACAATGCGACTAATATTTCAGCAGTTGATTTTTGTAATCTAAATTAAAATTTAATTTCTGCCTAGAACTTTCTTAACTACCGTATATACTCGAGTATAGGTCGACCCGACTATAAGCCGAGGGACCTATTTTGCCACAAAGAACTGGGAAAAAATGGTGACTCGCGTATAAGCCGAGGGGGCATTTTTCAGCAAACACATTTTTCCGCCTGGGCTAATCGTCCTCTTTGCAACCCCACCCCTCTGCACGCGATTGTAGCACTTTGCACAAAGGAGCAATAGTTGATAACATGCCCCAC